ATACTAAACCAAGAGAAAATGTAGCCAGCTGTAATACTAGTCGCTTTTTATGCACCTAACCGTGTGCCCTAACTAGTCACCCTTTGATTCGGTTGCCTACCTAAAACTTACTCTACATGCTTGCTTTTCTCTTTGTTTAGTATATATTTCCTATATTTAGTAAAGTATGGATTCTTGCTCTGATGATGTCTGCCCCAGTACATACGAAAGCTTAATACAGGTTTAATGAGGTCTTCGGACAATACATCAGTCCTTCCTTCGCGACAATCCTCTTTCGGTTTCCTGTGAGATCATATCACGAACTCCTTCTAACCAACTTTTCCTTCGAAATGGAGATTCATGCGATACCATTTTATTAAACAACGCTGCGAAAAAATTTTTATTTGATGTATTATGTATCTTTGTCTCCAATTCAAACATGGACAGGGTATTTTCAAAAATACGAGCAACTTGTTACTCAAAAAAACACCAGAGCTATGCGGACGAGAAATAAAGTGTTGTCACATAATGGGCGTTTCTGTAAATGGTGATGAATTATAGATGGTAGAAGCCACAACCCACTCCAAATAAGCCGATTTTTATTATACGTCCTCTGCTAAAATCGAACATTATTGCACCGGCTAATTTTCAAATAAGTATCTTTTGAATGTTTTCCAATATTCGAGAGATGGGCGGTGCTCCTTATAAGATTGGATTACAGGCCTAAGAGAAGGTTGAATGTATTTGATTCGGAGCATAATTTGGCAGTAAATCCCATGAAGTGTAATAGACCCCTAAGATTTTGCCCTTCGTGATTTATCAGTCTAGAATTACGTGTTCATGCAACATCATATCTTAAAATGGGAGCAGTATCAGTGTTATACTACTTTATTTAGCAATGATTACATTCGATCTTTATCCTAGGGAGAATTCTACAAATTGTGTGATTGATCTTCTTTTTTCATTACTAATTAATTAAAATTTCGAAAAGGTATCATAATGCTTTTTATTATACCCCTAAGTCATAAAAACTAGGCTGAACGAACCAAATGGCTTTTATATCGACTAGTTTTAGGTACAAAGACCAAGAGGAAAAATAATTATGGAAAAAAATTATTAAAATGTTCTATGGTAGAATATATCCCTCCAAATCGCTGCATATTGCTAATTTCCATAGAATAATTATTCTTGCGCTAATATCATCCTTCTATACAATGCCAACGACCAATATCCAATGATACCTTTTTAACTAGTCTATCATATGGTAGTGATTTCAGGCTGTAAGCAAATCTGGCATAAACCGGATGTAGAAAAACATATAAATTCGAACCTTTTGGGGCTTATGTGAAGTAACGCAATTATATTATAGCCTACTTATCCGGAGTAATGCTAGTGGAGGTCGAAGCATTTGACTATAGAAATAATATGTATTTTAATTCGAGTCCTAATATATCCAAATTCATTTAAAAATTTTAGTCGAAGAAAAATAAAAAAAGGCTAATCGTAATGTGTTTGTGCTAAAAAGATATTCCAGTTCGGCAAACTCAAGTGGAAAATCTCGCATATTCTTCTGCTAGGATATGACCTGGCATAAATTTATGATTAATTGTTCTAAAACCTAATTTTATCTCAGGCTATTTTACAGAGAATACAATGAATTAATTAACTGTACTTCATTTATTTAAATATTTATTAATTACAATTTGGCCTTATAGAATTGTTCCTTAAACGATTTGATAAGTTATGAAGGCTTGCATATAAAAGCAGCACTTACTCCACTTTATACTTTCTCTTAGTCCTCACGCTAAGAATGAACATTTTATCCAGATCAGTTTAGATAAACTGAATAGTAACTAA